TGATTCACATTCATCAAACAGATACAGTCATCTTTGTTTGTTTTTTTTTTTTTTTTACTTTCTCTCAAACTCAATGACTAATCACCGTAACTTGAACTAAATTAAAGCATGTATCTAAAAGGATAAGAGTTATTGTCCCTTAGGGAGTGTGAACAGAGATTGAAGCTAAGACATTTAGCTTACCAAAAGCCAGATTCAACCACTATACCACTCATAAAGATCAATCACCTTATGTACTATCTATTTTACCCATTTTATTGGAGCTTGAAAAGATCTTATCATTGGACTCATATTAGTTCTTCAAGGTCAGAGGTGCAACTTGAGTGGGTCAACCAGAGTTCAACCCGAAAAATATATGTATAAAGCATTAGCCACTCGGGTTTTGGCTCTCTACCTCTCATGCGCCTCTCTCACTCCCTCTTAGCCTTGATCTGCGCCGAAGACAACAACGATACTGGCAGGTCAAATCTGGTGGCTATGGCGGTAAAGACCACGACTCTCAAATTTGGTGACAATGACACCGAAGACCACAATGACTCTCAAATAGGGGTGGCCCAACCCAACTAGGAGTCCTAGGCAAAAATGTTATGTGAGGCCCTAATAATATTTATTTAGTAATAATATTAGTATTAAATGATTATTAAAATATGTTTATTTAAAAATTATTTATAGTCTTTTTTTTTTAAATACAACATGAATTTTGCAAATAAAAATTACGTTAACCAAAGTCAAATTCAAAAATCAAATACGGTGATACATGCCATTTGTTTTAAGATAAAAAAAATATAATTGAAAATTAGTTTAACTAATAAAATGATTTTTTTTTTGAATGAATATAAAAATAGAAATTTATATAAGTTGAGTGGTCCTAAAATAAATGAGACATTGCAAGATACTACTGTAGATAAATAGTAATATGTTTAAATAAGAAAACTTAGTAAGATAATTATGGTTGATTAATTTCAGATAGTGCACTAATTCTACTCACTCTATTTTATAGTCATTTTATGCATTATAAACAAACTAGCAATAACCCGTGCACGGTGCAATCTGAATAGTTTTGAGAGGGATGTTGGTGACCGTTGGATGAGTTTATTTGAGACCATTTGATAGATTTATTGAAACATGACGTATTTTATATTATTAATTAATCTAAACATGACCTCAAATTTAACTTATAAAAATGTAAAATCATAATTCATATCTATTATACGATAAACAATTGATTTTAATAATAAGACTATATTGTTTTTTCTTTTTTAAGGGGAAGAGGGAGGTGGCTTGATTCCTTAACCTTAAGAAGGCAAAGTCTTTATAAGACAAACAGTATCATTAAACCAACAACTCATTGGTAATACTAATAAGACTGTAAAGTGATAATACATATAATATAAACATCATGTGAGATAAAAAAAATTAGGTTGAACTCAAAAACCCTAATTTCTTTTAAAAGAGATTCTAAAAATTTTACAATAATGCTACTTTTACTTGATTTGATGACCAAATACATTGAAATTATATCACAATATCTAGATTGCATATCATTGTATAAAATTGTGAAAATTAGGGCCGTGTCCTACTTAAGAGACTTATACTGAGTTTAGTTCGTCAAGAAAATTTATTTGGGGATAAGTCCATTTTTAATCTTACTAATAAGTAGTTAAGTCTACTATTGTTTTAAAACTTCAAAATACCCTTCTTTGAAAGCAATTTTAAATTAATTCCTTAAGCATTATTATCCCTTAATTCACTATCAATGAAGATATGCTAATAAATTTTTTTACATAAATTTAAAATTCAAATTTAAAGAATGATTGATATACTCTCTCTCTCTCTCTCTCATATATATATATACCATGTTACTGTTTTTGTAAGCATGTTACTATTTCTATTGGGCATGTTACTGTTTATGTTACTATTTTTGTTGAGCATGNCAAAGAATGATTGATATACTCTCTCTCTCTCTTTATATATATATATATATACCATGTTACTGTTTTTGTAAGCATGTTACTATTTCTATTGGGCATGTTACTGTTTATGTTACTATTTTTGTTGAGCATGCTACTACTGTTATTTTTTCAAATATTAATACTCAATGTTATATTATTTTATATTTTTTAATATTATTATTTTTTCTATTTAAATATTACTATTTTTTTTGTGTTTGTGTGTGTGTGTGTATATATATATATATATGAGGGAGAGAGAAAAAAATAGTCATATTCTATATGGATATAGATAGATATGAGAGAGAGGAAATTTTAATTCTAGTCAAACACTTAAAATTTAGGGGTTNTTATTTTTGAATATTATTATTTTTTCTATTTAAATAGTACTATTTTTTGTGTGTGTGTGTGTATATATATATATATATGAGGGAGAGAGAAAAAAATAGTCATATTCTATATGGATATAAATAGATATGAGAGAGAGGAAATTTTAATTCTAGTCAAACACTTAAAATTTAGGGGTTGTTAGTTTTCAAATTTGTTGTAATTAAATATAACAAATAAGAGTATTTTAGATAATGGAGATCAAAATTGACTTAATATTAAACAAATGTTTTTAATGGACTTATCACCAAATATATTCACAAAAGGGATTGACTTTCAAATTTCTCTATAAAATTTTATTTTGTAGCTCCAAATTTTTCTTCTAATTTGAAGGCCTAGACAATGACCTTAGTAACCTAGAGGTTGGGCCATCATTGCTCTCAGATAATCAGATCTAATGGGTGTGGTGGATNATGTTTTTAATGGACTTATCACCAAATAAATTCACAAAAGGGATTGGCTTCCAAATTTCTCTATAAAATTTTATTTTGGAGCTCCAAATTTTTCTTCCAATTTGAAGGCCTAGACAATGACCTTAGTAGCCTAGAGGTTGGGCCATCATTGCTCTCAGATAATCAGATCTAATGGGTGTGGTGGATGGGCTGGTGGTTTTGTGGGCAATGGTTGTGGTGGCGATGGAGAGTGGTTGTAGTGGGTAACTATAGTATTTTGGATCTTTTGGTTTCATGTTTTTGTGTTGTATTTTGATTGAGTAGTNCAGTGGCTGTAGTGGGTAACTATAGTATTTTGTATCTTTTGGTTTCATGTTTTTGTGTTGTATTTTGATTGAGTAGTGTAATTTGTTTTTTTGTTTGATTCAAATCCGAATTTTATTTAGGCAGTGCTCAGGTTGAGTACCTTAAATTGAGGTTAAGTTTGAATTCAAGTTGAAAATGCTATATATAAAGTTAGACTAAAATTAACCCTTAAACTCAACCAATCCAGGTGAGTTGCACCCCTGAATTAAGGCAAGTNGAGTGGTTGTAGTGGGTAACTATAGTATTTTGGATCTTTTGGTTTCATGTTTTTGTGTTGTATTTTGATTGAGTAGTATAATTTGTTTTTTTGTTTGATTCAAACCCGAATTTTACTTAGGCAGTGCTCAGGTTGAGTACTTTGAATTGAGGTTAAGTTTGAATTCAAGTTGAAAATGATATATATAAAGTTAGACTAGAATTAACCCTTAAACTCAACCAATCCAGGTGAGTTGCACCCCTGAATTAAGGCAAGTCTTTTTATGCCTACTCACGTTTAAATGATGGGCTTAACCCCTGATTTCCGAACAAAAGAACAAGGGAACAGTTACAACTTGGTATGAGAAGGCCTACACACAACAAGAAGCCCACCACATCGAAGCTTAATCATTAAGATAGTCATTCAGCAATATCGCTGCACTGTCCGCGGTTCTTCCATGGACCGAAGCTCGCAGATGTTGCCACGTATAGGTTGGTTGTAATGTTAATTCTGCACCGTTGGATCAAAAAGCATATTGCCGATTCCACAACCACTCTGCCGCGTAGACGCGTAGGATGTAAGACAGGAGAGGCGACAATCAAATTGTAGAAATTCCATCTGTGTGTGTGAGAGAGAGAGAGAAATTCCATCGGAAAGCGTCAGAGCGGAGAGGAATTCAATCGGAATATTCAGTTGTTGGTCGATCGATTGCGATGAGTTTCTTATTCGGCAAGAAAAAAACTCCCGCAGGTTTGCTCATATTTTGATCTATGTATATGAATCTGTTTCTACTATCCATACAGAATTTTCTTCCTGTTATCTTCTTATGGGATTAGCATGAATATAAATGGATTGTCTTATGTTGTTGCCTTGGAACTACGCACAAAAACAAGTCAATTTTGATCTTAGTCTTAGCTTTTGTGCAGCGATGTTGAATGCTAATGCGATATTGAGTTAGGGGGTTCATATTGATTATCAATTCGCTGAATTGAGCTGATTAGCAACGATAACAATTGAGAATCGAAGTCGATGACATAAAAAATTATTAAACAAAGAAATCACACCAAAAAAGAAAAGAAAAGACGAAAGGGAAATAGTTTGGTCATGTTTGATTATCTCTCTTAAGCAGTGTGGTAAATGCTAATTTGGATCAATTGTCACCGCTTACGGTAAAAAAAAAATCTATTTACGGTTTTAATTATCTGTTGGTTTCATTGAGTTTGTAAGAATAGTACAGGGAGAGCAAGGAACAAAATCAAATGATTGCTGCAACGCAAGACTAAGGTCGTGTGAAAAAATGTTTTTTACATAATTGAGAAGCCTTCAGTTGTGGTGGAAATGTGTCAATTCCTTATGAAGAAATTATCATCTGTTACGGCATGGTTCTTATCAAGATAAAACGTTTCATTGCACTATTGAGTAATTTGATTTTAGACTTAGAGTCCCATTTGGAATGCTCATTGTGGAATTCATTCTTTACCAATTCACTGCACATTATTTTCTTCATGGTGAGGAAAATAATTCTCTTAAAGATGCAATTTAATGTAATTTTTATCCTCAGTAAGTAATCTCTACTTGCTTCTGCATTTACATTGGAGATGAAATTTCCCATCACAAAGGCTAGTGCCATTGTAGAAAGGGCTTCTATCATCTTTGACCTTCATGGCAAAGATCATCCATTCCTAAATGTTACGTCCTTTATATCAAGTGTCAACTTCTCTCCCTCTTATTTTTTTTATCTTTACCTGTTGCATTTTTATATTTTTTCATGAGGACATGGAAATAAATTCTTTCATGTTCCAAACATATCATCATGATTTTATTTTTTTTGATAAGAAAGGACAGGAAACTCACATTAATATTAAGAACAAGATACATCAGACATGAGAGAAGATGACATGAACTTTGGGACTTCCCCCTCCAAATACAACATTGATTATAGATTTTTGCATAGTTAACAAGAATATGAGCTACATTATTACCAGGTCTACGTAGCCTAGATGTCGAAAACTCATCACACAGTTGAGCACATAATTGGATCTGATCGACGAATTTCCCAATGTCCGATGAGCCCTTTTGTTTGCAACTTATCGAATCGATTAATGTCTTTGAGTCACCTTCAAGTATCACGCTTCGGAGACCCATATCTATAGCAATCTTAAGTGCAACAGATGCAGCCATGGCTTCAATATGATCATCTTTCAGAATACAATCAACGCTCTGGCAAAAAGCAGCTACCATTCTACCATTATAGTCCCTAATTACACCACCAGTTACAGATTTTCCCAAAGAAAAGGACACATCACCATCAAAATTTATCTTAAAACAACCAGGCTTTGGATGATGCCAATGACCATCAATACTTGCCGATGAAGAGTTAATTGTTCATAGTAGTTGACAGCAAATCCACCGAGTAGGGGATCTGGTACACTCATCAAGGCGTGATTTATTTCTATTAAACCATATAGCCACATCAATACTGACATTAGACAGGCCTTCTTAGACTCCATCATTTCAAACCCATTTGTCATCCACTCTTGTAGAGCGCACTTAGAAGGATCAGGAATTTATAAACCCGCACCTTCCCATACATCTCTTGTAGAATTGCATTCCATTAAAAGATGAGTACTAGATTCCAAACAAGCATCACACATGAAGCAATATTGTTCCACAACAATATTTCCTTTTAGGAGATTATGGTTTGTGGGTAGAATATCCTCAAGAACACGCCAAGCAAAATGTTTAATCTTGTTTGGTAGTTTCATCTTCCAAATAATATATCCTAATCATTTATGTGCATTGATTTGGGATTTTTAATATTAAGTTTTTGTTTGTAATCCATGTTCCATTGGTCAAAATGAGTGTGATGGGGATCATATAGGAATTGGACAGATATTATAGATCAATTATGATAGTTATTTAGATACTTTTAATATTTATCTTTTAAGTAATTTCTTTTAACTTTTGAGGATGTTTTTGTCATTGTTTATTTGTTTTAGGGTTTTAGTTTTCCTATATAAAGGGATGCATGCAAGGGTTTTATTTAGATTAGATTTTAATTATTGATTATTGATATTGAATTGTAATATAGTTTTTTCCTTAAATTCTCTCTCCGTTCTCATCCTCTTCTTCTATTTTTATCCCTAATTCCTCCCTACTAAGATCTACATCAATTTGGTATCAGAGCTAATACGATCTATATCAATTTAGAATGTAGAGGGATGGAAAATCAATTATCTAAGTTAACAAGTCAACTTTTTCATTTGAATAAAATTCTTGCAAGTCAGCAAATGGAAGAAAATAATGACAAGTCTCCAGTTTCACCTAACGTCGGACACCCACATAATAGTCATATTTCTGCTCCGTTGGACCCTCATGCTTTACATACTTTTAATTGTTTGAACATTGAAATTAGTGATGAGATTATTTTTGATCCTATCATGTTTCCTACCTCATTGGAGCTTAAAGTTGAATCATCACTAATCATTGAACTTGAAGAAAAATTCATTTAGTTGGTTCCGATGCAAGATGTTGAATATATTGAGCTATCTATCTTAGAATCTGTTGGCAATTATTTTATGTCTACTATTCCGAATCATGATGACATTGTTGTGGATTCTTCTCCACCTAAGATTGTTGAAATTGTTTTGGATTTTGTTCCACTTGAGAGTGTAAACTTTGTTTCTTTGTCTACTGTCAAGTGTTCAATTGAGCCTGTATTTTGTTATTTTCAGCAATCAGGGTGTTATAGTTACTCCTTTGTCATTGATGTCTTGTCCCACTGAATGCCTATTGTTCAAATCTAATAAGAATTGTTTTGCTATTTTCAAGTTTGGATCTAATACTTATTTGTTTAATTTTTCATTAAATGTTAGTATTAGTCCAGATTTTTATTTGGAGAACATGCTACTTAATCGAGGTACTCCAAAATCTCCTATTTTGTTATCCAGTATTTCTGCAGGTGGAATTACTTCTTCCTCAGCACTAGCTCCAGTTCTTATCTTTTCACTTCCATCGCATATTTCAGGTCAAATAGATGATTTGCTACGTGACCAGATTTATATTGCTACAGATGGAGATTCTTGCATTTATTCTAATCGATAGAAAGATGTTGATGGTTCTTTCATTTTAGATAAGGCGTTCTGTCATCTTCATGTTGCTCTCTTAGGGTACTTCTGCTTTGAAGACTCTCCAAAGGAGAGTTTTTTTCTACCGGAGGAGAATGATGGGGATCGTATAGGAATTAGATAGATATTATAAATTAATTATGATAGTTATTTAGATACTTTTAATATTTATCTTTTAAGTAATTTCTTTTAACTTATGAGGGTTTTTTTTTTCATTATTTATTTGTTTTAGGGTTTTGGTTTTCCTATATAAAGGGTGCATGTAATGGTTTTATTTAGATTAGACTTTAATTATTGATTATTGATATTGAATCTTGATATTGCTTATTTCTCAAATTCTTTCTCTGTTCTCATCTCCTTCTTCTTTCCTTCTCATCCCTAATTCTTCTATACTACGATCAATTTGGTATCAGAGCTAATACGATGTACATCAGAGTGTATTGTGGATTGATTGACTGTTGCTTGTTGCAAGTTGTGTGAAAGTATGATTTGTGGAATATAATCATCTATGCACTACGGCCTTATAACTAGAACACGAGTAGAGCTCGCATGTCATTCATGTGTTTGTTTAATTTTTTATGGTCTTGACTTTCAGAACTCCTGCGGGAAAACAAAAGGATGCTTGATAAATCTATCCGAGAAATAGAAAGGGAGAGGCAAGGGTTACAAGCACAGGAGAAGAAACTAATCGCAGAGATAAAGAAAAGCGCAAAGCAAGGGCAGATGGTATGTTTATTCTGGGTCCTTCACTCTCTTGACCTAGCCTTCTTCTCCCCTGTCACAAAAAAAAGTTCCTATGTGGAGCACATAGTCCATTCTACTGCATGCTGTAATATAGGTCACGCTCTTTGAATGTGTTTTCAATGGCTCTCCATAAAAGGATATATGTACCTTCTTGCTTAAGGTGTGAATGCCTATATAGTTCATCAGTGATTCAATTCATATCGGCAATATGTTCTAACTCTTGTTTTTTGTTTTTCTGTACTTGGAGATGAATATAGTGTATTTGATTTTGACAATTCAATTGCTTCTCATCACGAATTCTAATGAAGGTCTTTAGCAAAGATGTTTACTTATTTGCATGTTGCCTGGGGTAGATTTACACTCGGGGCAGTGGGTGGGGGCAAGTGCCCCCAGTGCAATCCTCCAATTCTTTTAGGTTCATTTGAAATTTCTAATTTTTTTTTTTGAATTTATCCCATTAAAAAATTTCTAAATTTTTCTGGATGTTTTTACACTTGAAAAATATTTTGGGACCTAAAAATTTGACTTAATTTACTGAGTAAATTACGTTTGATGTGGTCCCAATAAGAAGTCCACAAGTTGCAACGAGTTGTAATTAGAATAATATTATTGGACCATATTAATTGCCACATCATTAGGTCATTAAAATAAAACAGCTTTTTAGGTCCAAATAACATTACTATTTATATTTTAGTCAATAAGTGGGTTTCTTTTGACTTAAAAAATCATATATAAGCTTCTTTCATGCAATTCAATGGCACAACTATCTTTTTAGCCCCTATAGTGTGTGCACTTGTTTCAAATATGAATTAAAATTGGACTTGAAATTTGAAATTCTAAGTTGAAAATTATAGTTTAAACTTTCAAACTTGGAAATTAAACCTAATTATCGATGAATTAATATGTTTGTGATATAATTAAGTTGTCTTAGCATTATGATTTTAATTTAACAATGAGTTGGAAGTGGCCCCACTAAACAGAAGTCCTACCTCCACCCCTGAATCTGCTTGACTCTAGTTGCGTCGAAAGATATTTGAAGAATGAGATTTGTTAGTTTTACTCTCAGTGATAATAGGTTGCATGTTATTGTCCCCTTATTTGCAATATTACTGTTCACTAGCTCTCATGTGTTATTTGTGGCATTTTGATCATTTTTTTGACTTTGTTTCAAAAATCGGACTACAATTTGCACTGTGGAATCCTTGTTAATGGAATATCCATCTGATTATTGTATTGACATTAATGACAATGGAAACCTAGTCCAATATTAAAATGACCCTTCTTTTGATGAACCTTTGCCCTAGTCTGCATTGGAGTTAGTAAGTCAAGGAGGTTAACCAAAAGTGCCTCTAGTATGGGGAAATTGTATTCTGGGTTAGTAAGTGAGGGGTGGTACTAGAAGTTGGGTTTAGATCTACTATGCTGCTACCCTGTTGTGAATTTCTTGAAGAGGACATACTGTCCTCAACTTATGTTATGTGGAAGGACATATTGGCTTACCACACAGTGCTCCGGATGTTCATGTATTTTGCTATGGATTTGATAAGTTCGGTTCAATTTTTACAATCATATCATCACACTCGTTCATGATTTTTATTGTGTAAACAAATGCCAGATCTATATGCATTGTGCATTTCTACTAAAATCAGCTTGCCTGATAAAATTGAATCTATTTGGAAAAACAGTAACACTTGGGAACTTGACTTCAATTGAGTCCAATATCAGCTTATGTCATGTTAATCTCTAGTTCGTACACCATGCTACTTCATGTACTTGTGGTGGAAATTCATCACTCTTGATTAGTTATTAGACTGCTCCTTAATAGAGTCATTGTGTGTCTGAGTGGGTGAATGGTCAGTGTGTCTGATCATCATACCCTTTATTGCCAGTATTATAGTGATGTACCAAAATGAGTGAACATAAATCTAACCACTTTTGAGCAACATCATTTTTATTTGGCTTGAATTTTTTTCCCAGGGAGCTGTTAAGGTGATGGCCAAAGACTTAATTAGAACACGACATCAGGTCGAAAAATTTTACAAGCTAAAATCCCAACTCCAGGGTGTAGCTCTTAGAATTCAGGTATGTTTTGACTCCTACATATTATTATTATGTTTTAAACATATTATACTATGCCCTCTTGTATTCTTTTCTACATGTATAATTTTGTGTGTGTTGAAGCTCAAAACCTGTGTAATATGTGTCATTGAATAAATTATTCTGACCCAGTAATGGAACCATGTGGGTGACTATCTATGTGTTGTTTCAAAAGTTTAAGGGACCCTTTCAGCTGATTTTAATGGCCAATTCAAAGATGTTGATATGCTCTTCCAATCAAAGAGGGAGAGAGAGGGGATTAGCGAGGATGGGGAGGTGTTGATTTGGGAATCTAGCCAACCTGCCAATGTATACCAAGGGTAAACAGATTGCAGCTGAAGATCAAACTGTTACCGAGGCCTTCCAGCTTTCAGGGTGCCAAAAGTTTGCTGTTGCTGTAATTGAGCAAGTGAGGGGGTGGTTTTTTCTTCCGTTCTTGACACTCCACCAGTCCACCACAACTTAGCTGGTATGCAGCTAAGTTGGTTTCAAATGGAAGGGCGAATTGGATGGAGAAAAGAACATAGACTGGAGTAGAGGTAAGAGTGGATTTGATGAGAATGGTTTGGCCTGCTTGAGAGAGGGCTAGGGTACTCCAACATTGGATCTTATTTTGAATGAGGTTAATAAGAAATTGAAAGGCATCTTTTTTGTTGGTGGGAAGGTCTAATGCAAGGTCAAGGTAATTAGAGATAATAGAAGTTTGACAACAGTTCTTAGAGAAACTTTTAGAAGTCTGGTGATGCAGTGTGGGGTGTTATGCATTGAGTCTTACTGTTTGGGACTTATGTTGGTTGGAGCAAACTTAAGAGAGATGTACTCTTTGTTGCATTTTATCCATATTAGTATATTCATATACTGCTTAGACATTGGCAGGCTTGGTTTTTTGTTCCTTACTTTATTTTATCCATACATTCTGCGCATTTGTGCTCTGTCAGAGCTAAGGCGTTTCAAATAGGATTTGTGTATGTCATACTTTGGTTTCATTAGGATTAAGGGTTTGAACGTTGAAGTTATTACAATGCTAATCATAGGAGGAAGCTCAAGGACCTTAGTTGCTCGCTACGGATTGATTTTATATGGGAGTGTTCAGGGATTTCTAGGCTCATAAGGTTATCATATAAAGTGGAAAAATTTATGCTAGTATGCTTACTCTTTACTTAATTAGACATCTCCATGCCTTTGTGCTTCATTGATGCATATGAATTTCAATTTGGACGTTTGTATATCATATCTTTGTTTTTGTTTGACCAAGTTTTGATCCATTGGCTTGTGTCCTTATTTGGTCAAATATGTTGGCTACGCCTCTGTGTTCTTCTGGTTGGCCCTAATGTGGATTGACACTAACATATTTGTAAGAATTGTGCAATTTTTCTACTTGTGATACTAAAAGTTGCTAATTTTTCCCTTTTATCTACTAAGACTCTGAAATCGACACAAGCAATGGGCGAGGCAATGAAAGGTGTGACAAAGGCGATGGGCCAGATGAACAGACAGATGAACTTGCCATCGTTGCAGAAAATAATGCAAGAATTTGAGAGGCAAAATGAGAAGATGGAAATGGTAACTGAGGTGATGGGAGATGCCATTGACGATGCTTTGGAAGGAGACGAAGAAGAAGAAGAGACAGAAGAGCTGGTGAGCCAGGTCCTTGATGAGATTGGAATTGATATCAATTCAGAGGTATTTCTGCTACTCCATTTGTTTCTCTGTGTACATTTACTTGGTGTAATTGTGCTCTCTCTGTTGTATAAGACAATTGTGAGAACTGATGCTGATGATATCATTGTTGTTTCAATTTTATGCACAGCTTTTGAATGCACCCTCCTCCGCTGTAGCTGCCCCAGCTGTGAAAGGTAAGGTTGCGCAAGCTGAAGCAACAGCAAATGATGACAGTGGGATAGATAGTGATTTGCAGGCCAGGTTAGACAATTTAAGAAGAATGTAATCTTACATGTATATATAATAGCTTGACAGGGAAGATGAGACGTTTATTTGGCTTTGTAACGTGTGAAGATTTGGTGAAGTTGAGAATCCAATGAAGACTCTTTATTACTTCTATTTGTAATGGTTTCGCAAAAGCAGCAGTAAATCCTATCTTTGGTATTGCAGATTTCTGTTTATCATGTTTTTTTAACCCCGAGATTTCTGTGGTGTGAAATGTGAGTCATGTAGAAATTCAATATCTTTCTTACGTGGTTGTTAAAGTTTCTGTAGCTAGCATTAGGAGTTAGCAACTGCCAGAGAGATCTTGTTTTTATTAATGCGTGTGATGGTCTGTGACATTGGGCAGTGGCTTTGATTGAGGTTATGGAAATTGGAGGTTTAATGGAATATAAGATCTGATGGGGTTTAAACGGTAAAGCTGGCGGGCTTGGCTACACTTCCTTCCTTTTTAGGGTTTTCTAGTTTTAGATGTCCTTCATTTTGGTGCTTGGTCTATTGGCTGACCTTTTCACCCATTGACTTATGCTTTTACTGCCTGCCTTCTTATATAGCTTATGATCATATGTTTTTCTGTGCTATAGGGCGCTTAATTACCACAAATCATATGATTTTCTTTCCTATAGGGCGCTTAATTAGCATAAGCCCCCAGAAATTGTTGCTTTCTTGGTAGTCTTTGGAAATTCTCGGTTTGTGTGCTATAGGGTGTTCTCCCTATTTGCCTTCTAGTGTACACCACAAGCATGAAGACCACGCTAGTGATATGGAGTCTGGCGTGATGCTTGTGTCAAGCCTGAGGAAGGCTGAGGCATTCGACAGCGCAAGGATTTTTCTGGGTGCCCGAGACGTGTGTTGCACAAGGATTGCTTTAAGGCCGTGAAAGTGACCCTTAAGAGAGCCTCGTTGTCCATTTGAGATGACAACAAAACAGGCTTCCAGGCATTAGAACAGTGATGACATCTCCGATTTGCTAAGAGCACGACTGCATAGATGGTATACACTTACCTCAAAACTTTTTCTCATGTGTAAGTGGGGGGAAGTACGATGTAGAGAATTTTTATTTGTTAAATGAAATAACTGCAGGATGCTTGTCTAAGGTTTTTGCATTCAGTGGTCCAACGATGACCGTTTAGTAGAATGAACGACTGCAGCCATATGTGCATTAAGTTGGAGTTTGAGCGACACAAGTAGTTGAGCTTCATTTTCACTCCTGTTTTCTGCCCAAGTGTCTTAGCATGCTTTCTTGTATAGATAGACTAGGCTAACCGGTTTAATGCATTTTTTTTACTATGGTTAAAATGCAATTGAGTGATTGAAATGTCAACATAGTTAAAATATTTACTTTAATTAGAATATAAGTGGGTAGTTGAAATGTAAATATAGTTAAAATATTTATTGTGGTTAAGATATAAGTTTGCAAGATTCACTATTGGATCGTAATACTAAATAATATGACTCGTCATTATGATTTAATATTGAGAAACTTTGTGTTTTATTATAGAGTAATACTATTGAGACTTAAAAATTGATTTAATTTGTTAACATAATGATTTGTCAAATTATGAAATTTCAATGAAAAAGTTCAAGAGTTATAGTCGCAACAACACTATTAGACCACATCATTATCACATTATTAGGTTAGCAAGTTAGATTAATTTTTTAGGTCTCAATAGCATTATTCTTTATTATAGGGTATATATTACAATCAATCCTCAAACTTTTCCTTCGATTTTAAAATGATCTCTAAACTTTCAATTGTTTTAATTTGGTCCATTAACTATTAATTTGATTTCAATTAAATCATTTCATCAATTTGAGTTATTAGAATAAATGGAGATAAGCAACGTTTTTGTCGTGTGGTTGTTCACATCATATGCCGTCGTTTGTTCTAATGACTAAAATTGATGGAATTACTTAATTGACATGTAATTGATAGTTGAGAGACTAAATTGAGACAATTAAAAGTATAAGTACCATTTTAAAATATAAGGTAAAGTTTAAGGGCTAATTATGATATGCAAGCAATCTTTAAAAGTATTCAACAAAGTAGCTGAAAGTATGTATCGCAGATAGAAGCAACTCATTATTTTTTTTAAACACTCTTCGTTAAGCCAAAAGACATCACCAGAAAGTGGAAGGCTCCAACAACTCCCTCGATTGTCTCCTCAGCTTTTGTAGCTCCGATAGCATAACATTTTTGAACTGTTCAAGGACTTTTATTATCACAGTATAGTCGGTAGCTCCTCACTTGACCCATGTTCAAAGACTTTTATTAACATTTTGTTTCTAACATGAAAATGTCCTATGCTTCCCTTGTAATTTTCATGCTTATGATTACATTATGTTTTATATATTTGATACTTTTCACGATGTATTGGTTGAGCTGTTGTGCGTAAGATTATGATCTTCAAAACTTTCATCAAGAAGATAGTTTCTATACTTAGTATTAAGCTTTCTTTATACACTAGGGTGTGGAGATTAGTTTGCAATTTATTTTGTTCTTGATTGTTTTCGAGTTATAATCTTTAATTTCTTACTCTTGTATTGTCACGAAATTATATCAAGATTACTCTGATGCACCTTCAAGCTTGCAATTAATTTTGAGGTTTGCAATTTATTTTGTNCTGCAGCCATATGTGCATTAAGTTGGAGTTTGAGCGACACAAGTAGTTGAGCTTCATTTTCACTCCTGTTTTCTGCCCAAGTGTCTTAGCATGCTTTCTTGTATAGATAGACTAGGCTAACCGGTTTAATGCATNTATGTGCATTAAGTTGGAGTTTGAGCGACACAAGTAGTTGAGCTTCATTTTCACTCCTGTTTTCTGCACAAGTGTCTTAGCATGCTTTCTTGTATAGATAGACTAGGCTAACCGGTTTAATGCATTTTTTTTACTATGGTTAAAATGCAATTGAGTGATTGAAATGTCAACATAGTTAAAATATTTACTTTAATTAGAATATAAGTGGGTAGTTGAAATGTAAATATAGTTAAAATATTTATTGTGGTTAAGATATAAGTTTGCAAGATTCACTATTGGATCGTAATACTAAATAATATGACTCGTCATTATGATTTAATATTGAGAAACTTTGTGTTTTATTATAGAGTAATACTATTGAGACTTAAAAATTGATTTAATTTGTTAACATAATGATTTGTCAAATTATGAAATTTCAATGAAAAAGTTCAAGAGTTATAGTCGCAACAACACTATTAGACCACATCATTATCACATTATTAGGTTAGCAAGTTAGATTAATTTTTTAGGTCTCAATAGCATTATTCTTTATTATAGGGTATATATTACAATCAATCCTCAAACTTTTCCTTCGATTTTAAAATGATCTCTAAACTTTCAATTGTTTTAATTTGGTCCATTAACTATTAATTTGATTTCAATTAAATCATTTCATCAATTTGAGTTATTAGAATAAATGGAGATAAGCAACGTTTTTGTCGTGTGGTTGTTCACATCATATGCCGTCGTTTGTTCTAATGACTAAAATTGATGGAATTACTTAATTGACATGTAATTGATAGTTGAGAGACTAAATTGAGACAATTAAAAGTATAAGTACCATTTTAAAATATAAGGTAAAGTTTAAGGGCTAATTATGATATGCAAGCAATCTTTAAAAGTATTCAACAAAGTAGCTGAAAGTATGTATCGCAGATAGAAGCAACTCATTATTTTTTTTAAACACTCTTCGTTAAGCCAAAAGACATCACCAGAAAGTGGAAGGCTCCAACAACTCCCTCGATTGTCTCCTCAGCTTTTGTAGCTCCGATAGCATAACATTTTTGAACTGTTCAAGGACTTTTATTATCACAGTATAGTCGGTAGCTCCTCACTTGACCCATGTTCAAAGACTTTTATTAACATTTTGTTTCTAACATGAAAATGTCCTATGCTTCCCTTGTAATTTTCATGCTTATGATTACATTATGTTTTATATATTTGATACTTTTCACGATGTATTGGTTGAGCTGTTGTGCGTAAGATTATGATCTTCAAAACTTTCATCAAGAAGATAGTTTCTATACTTAGTATTAAGCTTTATACACTAGGGTGTGGAGATTAGTTTGCAATTTATTTTGTTCTTGATTGTTTTCGAGTTATAATCTTTAATTTCTTGCTCTTGTATTGTCACGAAATTATATCAAGGTTACTCTGATGCACCTTCAAGCTTGCAATTAATTTTGAGGTTTGCAATTTATTTTGTTCTTGATTGTTTTCGAGTTATAATCTTTAATTTCTTACTCTTGTATATTGTCACGAAATTATATCAAGATTACTCTAATGCACCTTCAAGCTTGGACTTTGCCAAGATTTATTACTTGCTTGACAACTTATACTTGGGTTTACAACTTCCAACAGGGGAGGAGGCGAGGTGGGGGCAATTGCCCCCACTGAAATTCTAAAAATTTGTAAGGTTAATTTAAAATTATAATAAAAAAAAAAATTTAATAACTTGCCCCCACTCATTTTTTTTAATGCACAAAAAATTTAGACTCAAGGTTTGCTCATAGAAACTTAATCTCACAATATTTTATTTAATCTCTAGTTGTCTTTATTCCTTCTACAATGACTTACTTAAGTTATTGAATCAATCCTTCTCCAAATTCGATTATTAAGACATATATATTTTTGACCAATTATCTAAGTTCAAATATACTACATTATTTTCTAAGATTTTAGATTTGGGCACATTAAAAAATTTGATCTAATTATGATTCAATTCAATTCACTTCGATCAAATATACTACATCATTTTCTAAGATTTTAGATTTGGGCGCATAAAAAAATTTGATCTAATAATGATTCAATTCAATTCACTTCGATTCAATTTGATATGCATACACAATTATATATATGTAAACATTTGACAAAACTAAACAATTAAATTGAATTAAAATTACAATGCGACACACACACACACACAAATCAGTTGAATAATTAGATTAGATTAAAAATAAGGTTTTCAAGACAAATAGTCATTCGGATGAGTCAAAATCTTATCATTGACAAACACACTCACAAAATGATATGTCAAAGTAGTATTCTCTATAAAATTGTCTTTATTCTAATACTTTAAAAAAAATATTAGTTTTTTATAGTCGGCTATCATTTTTTTACGCGTCTTTATATGTGAAATCTTTGAAAGTAAAAAAAATAATATGAAGAATTATTTTATAAAAGGTGATAGATTAGGAAAAAAATTTTTATAGAAAATGAAATTTTGAGATAATAAATATGTTCACTAGATGCAACGAACTTTAATAATTATTGAGTACTCATTCTCTTTAANCTCTTGTATTGTCACGAAATTATATCAAGGTTACTCTGATGCACCTTCAAGCTTGCAATTAATTTTGAGGTTTGCAATTTATTTTGTTCTTGATTGTTTTCGAGTTATAATCTTTAATTTCTTACTCTTGTATATTGTCACGAAATTATATCAAGATTACTCTAATGCACCTTCAAGCTTGGACTTTGCCAAGATTTATTACTTGCTTGACAACTTATACTTGGGTTTACAACTTCCAACAGGGGAGGAGGCGAGGTGGGGGCAATTGCCCCCACTGAAATTCTAAAAATTTGTAAGGTTAATTTAAAATTATAATAAAAAAAAAAATTTAATAACTTGCCCCCACTCATTTTTTTTAATGCACAAAAAATTTAGACTCAAGGTTTGCTCATAGAAACTTAATCTCACAATATTTTATTTAATCTCTAGTTGTCTTTATTCCTTCTACAATGACTTACTTAAGTTATTGAATCAATCCTTCTCCAAATTCGATTATTAAGACATATATATTTTTGACCAATTATCTAAGTTCAAATATACTACATTATTTTCTAAGATTTTAGATTTGGG